TGACGTTGGACATGCCGTCATTGCACAGCCTGCAAAGGGAAGTTGGTAAGTTTTAATCACCCAACAAAAGAGACTGAGAACTGCATTTGCATTATCAAACCATCTTCCTGTTTCATCCTTATTAGGAACTTTGGTATCACTGAAATATTTAAGGAGGTCAAGCATTGACAATTCCTCTTTACGATGAGGTTCTTCAGACTTCTGGTTCATTAAAAAATTTGCACATAATAGCAATTAAATTATAGTTACACCACCTGTAGTGAACAGAGTATGCCAACTATCAGTCCTGACCACCCAAAATGTCACTCAGTGTGGCAATAGCCATATCTACCAATTCTAACCAAAGGTGCTGGTTTGAGATTAAACTGTTAATTTCAAAACCCAGAGGGTCCAGCCCAGATCTCAACATCCCTCTCAAATCAGAGACCAAGGGTTTACCTGTTCTCCTCCCCCTCCAGCAGCTTCCTGTACATGGCAATCTCAACATCCAGGGCAATCTTAATATTCAAGAGCTCCTGGTACTCCTTCAGCAAGCGAGCCAGCTCCTCCTTGTCCTTCTGCAGAGCACATTCCAGCTCTTCCAGTTTTAACCTGGCATCCTTGAGGGCCATCTCACCCCGCTCCTCAGCCTCAGCAATAGCTGCCTGCAGCTGCTGATTCTGAGGAAGAGAAGAGGGCAATTTCTCAGATGTCGTTTTGACATTTAGGACCAGTCCTCAAACCCCAAGTGGAGAAGTCAAGGAAAAAAAAACAAACATCTACATGAAGTAAACAAGGGGTGGCTGAAGAAACCATTTCTGCCCCACACATGGTCCTTTGTGATCCAACCTGACACCAGCATCCCATGAGACACCAGGCAACCCCTACCTGTTTCTTCACGTTCTCAATCTCAGCCCGCAGCCTCTGGATGTTCCTGGTCAACTCTTGGATCTCTATCTTGGTGTTGCGGAGGCTGTCGCCATGCCTCCCAGCAGTGCTCTGCAGCTGTTCGTACTGATGGCACCAAGACAAAGCAAACCTTCAGTGAAACATTCCTGATGCTTAGACAAGGTTTGTCAACAGTCTCATAGCTCATGTGCTGCTACAAACACCTATCACGTTGGTCACTGATGCCCAGGTCAATGTAAAAGATGATTCTGAGACTCAAATATTATTGGTTTTGAACTTTGAAATTGGTCTTAGTCACGCTAATAAGCATCCCTTGGCTTCTAAGAAGCCTCTTTGGGCTGGCATTTTCGAGTTACGGTACATTTTATTCAGAGGCTTATACCGTGCACCAAAGTGAGATTCTGGACACCTTCAACACAATGAGTCAGATCACTCAAAAGCAACACAATTCCTCTTGGGACTTCCTTGCATGAGCTCCAGCACTGTTAGCTTGAAGAGGTATCTCACATTGTCAGAAATTATCTGCAAACTCTAGCCATCACCCAGGGTTCCATCACTGCTTCCCAGCTCACCTGGCTCTGGTACCAAGCCTCAGCTTCAGCTCTGCTGCTCTGAGCAATCTGCTCGTACTGACGCCTGACCTCCTCAATGATGCTGTCGAGATCCAGGTGCCGGTTGTTGTCCATAGACACCACCACAGACAGGTCCCGGCTGATTGTCTGCATCTGAGCCAGTTCCTACAACCAAGACATGAGGTAGCCTGACCGTCTGAGGATGGGAGAAAAGAGCAGCAAGCCCCGGCAGCCTCTCCAGACCAAATCCACACGGGCGCCCCGTGCAGCCTCAGTGTCTTTGGCCACCACACACCTCACTGCAACTCCAGGCTGCCCAGGGGAAGAGAGAGCTCTTACCTCCTCGTAGATGCACCTCAGGAAGTTGATTTCATCAGTCAGAGCTCCCACCTTGGCTTCCAACTCTACTTTAGTCATGTAGGCACAGTCCACATCCTAAAGGAAAGATCGCACAGAGAATACTTTCATTTCCCCTTGGAAGTCTTTCAGGACCATGGAAATTACAGTCTGTGCTGAGAGTAACAGCTGCAATGGTGCTGTTCAATTATGCAAATTAAAAACAAAGGACTTAACTAGCAGCCCACAGATCCTACAGCCTCTCCAAATTCCCGTTCCAGAGGGCGTCCCCTCGAAGCACAGATAAAGCCTGATATTCCAGCGATCATTTTGTAGTGCGTGTGACTCACCTTCTTAAGCACCACAAACTCATTCTCAGCAGTAGTGCGCCTGTTGATCTCTTCCTCATACCTATGGAGAGTAAAAATACAAGCTGAGTTTCCTGAATTTTCCTGCCTAAGGCCACGCTAAACCAACTAAAAGCAAAAAAAACCAGAATAAACTATTTAGACTGAAAATCTACGTCCATAATTGCCATAGAAAAACATGTGTGTGCAGAAAAACTACTACCAAGCTGCTTGAGTTGCTTTCTGGGTTAGGCTGCTACCACACTTACTTGGTTTTGTAATCCTCGACGTATTGCTGCATGTTCTGCAGTTCCGACTCCAGCTGTCCCCTCTGTGCCAAGATTGAGTCCAGCTGCCTCCTCAGGTTCTGGATGTAATTTTCAAAGATGACGTCGAGGTTCTTCCTCGGCCCCGAAGGCCCTTGCTGTTGGAGGAGCTCCCACTTGGTGGAGAGGACCTTGTTCTGTTGCTCCAGGAAGCGGACCTGAAAGCCAACACATGGAGTATCCACTATCACATGTGGAACAGCAGCAGCAACCAAGGCACCCTTCCATCACTTAGAAAATTCTCCTTTGCATGTCAGTGAGCGAAACGGGTAACTTATTTTTTTTATTTTCTCTTGTTGCCTAAAGTGCAAGGCTGGAAAAAGGAGGAAATTTCTAAATCTTATTCAAGTCAGAGAAGCTTTTAAATGTAGCCTCAGCTCCAAGTACATTCCTGTTGCAGGTAGTATAAAAATCTTAGATTACTAATCTAGATTTAAAAGCCTGGATATTTCAAAACAAAGAGAAAAAAAAATATATTAGTGAATACTTAGATGGGAGTGTATTAGGAAAGAGGATGGTACAGAAGGGAAAATTTGTGCCTGAAACCTGAAGATGTTTGGAGGCGTTGAGCTTGTTTCCAAGAAAAACCTATTAGTTGAGCCTGGTGTAACAGGCTAGATTAAAGCCCTGAAGACAGAGCTTTGATCTCGTATGGAAGAGAGATTCTCATCTCTTCCCTAGCAGTACTTAACAAAAAGACTCTGCTCAAGCTTCTCAGCCTGCTGATATTCAGCTCAAAAAGGACAATATTTCTGCAGAACTTGAAAGTTCTTCCCAATTTTGACCCTTAATTAGACATGATCCCACCCTCTCACCTTATCAATGAAAGAGGCAAATTGATTGTTAAGAGTCTTGATCTGCTCCTTCTCCTGGTTTTTGACTTGCTGTATCTGAGGATCAATCTCAACATGGACTGGCTGTAGGAGGGTTGAGTCAACCTGCACTGGCTGGATTCCAGGGCCACCTCTACAGGGGCCACCAAAGCCTGGCATGCCAAAGCCTGGTCCACCAAAGCCGCCCATTCCTCCACCACCCATTCCTCCACCATAACCACCCATTCCTCCACCAAAGCCACCCATTCCTCCACCACCACCCATTCCACCAAAGCCACCCATTCCTCCTCCGCCCATTCCTCCACCAAAGCCACCCATTCCTCCACCACCACCCATTCCACCAAAGCCACCCATTCCTCCTCCGCCCATTCCTCCACCAAAGCCACCCATTCCTCCTCCATAGCCTCCACCAAAGCCACCCATTCTGCCTCCATATCCTCCACCGCCATAACATCCACCCATGGAAATCCTGCCACTGCCACCTATGTTATGCAGACTCTTGCTGCTAAACCCTCCACAACGTCCACCACCTCCAAATCCCCTGGACATAGAGAACGAGCTGTAGCTGCTCCTGCTTCTTCCGCCACCTCCTCCAAAGCCACCACCGATGGCAGAGCAAGAGCTGTAGCCCCTTCTACTGCCGCCTCCAAAGCTTCTGCAGACAGACTGCCGAGACATGGCTGTTTCTTCCAAGCAGAGTCAAAAATGGAGAAAATAAGACAGAGCAATGGAGTTGTGCTGCGAGGAGACGAGTGCAAAGAGAAGGGCAGTCAGTCCCTCTGACTCGAGGGCAGCAGATGCTCTCTTTTATCTGTTTCTGGAGGTGGGCTGGGTTTGCATGGGCGTGAAGGAGGAGACAGTTACTGTCTTCATCAGCGTGGCGTGGTTTACAGATTTTCATCTTCAATTTGCCAAACATTGACCCTACCCAGAAACACACCCTATAATGCAGGAGAAAATTAAAAAAGATACAACTGTGGCTACCGAATGGTAGCACTCAATGACTAAGAAGTCTTATGCTTTTGTGGTATAGTAACAATCTCCCTAGGATATACTACTCTTTTTTTTTTCCACCTTTCCTCCGTTGTGGTTGTTTCCCTGCTTATGTTTATCTTTATCTTGATCTTTCACTCCAAAGCCCCATGGCAGCCAAGCGCTGCAGCTCATGCCAAGTTGTAGCATGGCTTTCACAATTCCCAAAACACACCTATGTTACACCCTTAGTCTTCTTTTTACATGGAAAATTGCCTTTGGCTTTCAGAAGTAGTTTCTCAATCTAGAGCCAGGGCTCAGCAAATTGCATCTTGATGAGGCTCTGCATCTTTTTGATAAATAAAACCTTACCAGAAACGAGATACCGGAGCAATAGTTGGCACTGGAAACTCACTTATTGTTGGACCAAACTCGTACTGAAAGTGAGTTCTGCAGCCTTTGCGCCACGACAGCCTCAGCACCGGTGGAGAAATGCCACGAACATCACAGACGGGAAATCCCTTCAGGATCTTCTGAAGGCTGCAAGACCATGAGAAGAGCCAGAGAAGACATCAGGAACCCAGCTGCTATGGTGGGAAGTGTGGACAGACGGACACACCCTCTCTGAGGGAGAAGGAGGCATGCGAAATCATGCTGCCCACATAATAAATCCTGTAGCTATTTAAATGCAACTGTTTAAATGCTGGGCAGAGGATGCCGGAGAGCTCCACTCTTTGTAGACACAGAGAGAAATGAGGAGGACAGAGGGCACAGCCACTTTCACTTGAGGACATGCATGTTTTTCAGCTGCCTGTCTTACTTCAGTATCTATACGCAAATGTTTTTGGCAGACATAGACACTTCTAAGCTGTGTTGAGCCCTCCTTCAGGGACACGGGTGGGTCCTTTTTAAGGGTAGGTATCCTTTTTAAGCTTATTTGAAAGTAGTCACCAGATTTTAGAAAGGAAGAAGCTTATCAGAGTGCTCTGGGTTTGAGAAAGGATTAGCTTATGAGTTAAACTCACGATAATAAGACTAGGACCCATCATACGTCCATCCTTTTGTGTTGCAGAAGCCTGCTTATCAAATAACAATTACTGTCTCATTTTAAAATTTTTTATTGAGAAATTCCTTTTTTATTAGTTTTCAACCTTTTAAAGCCACCTAAGAAATCTTGACGTTCAAAAATCTTTACGACGATTGAGGCATCTAACTGTGCTGGTAGCTGCCTAGCAAGGTTCTGAGAAGTTCCCATAGGACACAGACAATTAAACGCTTCTTGAAAATCCACACTAGCAACTCTTGGTATCTTCAGATGTTTAAATACCTCTAAAAATACCACCCAGACACCTATTTCCAAAAGTGCCTAGGGACCTGGACCGTGGCGTAACGTGCAGCTAAACTGGCATTTCCACTGAAAAACACAACCGTCCGGACACAGCCTGCTCGTTCCACCTCCCTCCCCAGCACCAGCATGGATTCACAAGCACACAGGGAAGTGGATCAGGGGATAGATAGGGATAAAAAAAAATATAATAACAAGAAGTCACTTTGAGAACAAAGGAATGGGGAGGACAGGGGGTTTGGTGGTTGTACAGCATGGTTTATAGACAATAAATATGTGGGCTGAGGAGGTCCCGTATGGCTTGTTGGTCTTCAGCAAGACTTTGTCTCCTAAATGCCACAGCTGGGACAAACGCCTGCCCAGCCTGGGAGGTTTTGAAGCGCAACCTCAAACATCGCTGCAACCGTGAGCCAGAAGACTTGACAAACATCTGATCCCCTCTGGGGGCGAAGGCAAGAGCCATCTCTCAACAGCCCTTCCTGTCTGCAGGAGAGGCAAGACCTGGCAGCACCACCTCTGCGGACCCGCGCTGGGAACGCGCTTCGCTTCTGATTTATCAGTCAAATACATTCCGCTGCCGCCTGCCACACCGCAAGGTTCAGGAGGGTGCCGTGGGTTTGTCGCTGCTATAGATGTAATCACGAACACGCTCATGCACAGACGCAGATGCCTTTAACGACGCTTTCCCTCGCCTCCCTCTGCGTTACCAAATACGCAGTTACGTTTTTCTGGAAGCTTTTTGGGTTTTTTCTTTTTCCGTGGGCGGGACAACGTGATCAGAAAGTTTTCACGTTCCCAGCCGCGCTGGGAGGAGATGCGTTAAGTCAGCACAACGCTCGAGTCCCGAGCACCCATGTTTAGATAACGCGCTCGTTGAGTCATGGCCGTGTCTCCAGCCAAGTTTAGGAAATCAAACCGGGATTTGGGTATCAACATCATCAGCCGGTTCAAATGCAATAGGCAGCTTGAGACTGCAGGAATCTCAAACAACATCGTTGTACCCAAAGCCTAATGAAGGAAAATGACCTTTAAAAGTGCCTTCCAACATGAACTATTCTATGATTCTATGAAAATAAATGGGCAGGAATACAGGAAAAGCTGCTCAAGCCTTGAACACTTGGAGGAAAAGGCTCATTTTTAGCAGCAACACTGTGAGTCAACGTGCACTGAACTTAGGAAAAGTCCTCAACCACAGAAAGGGAGAATTTCTAGGGAAAAACCAAAACAAATAATTCCCACACTTTCCATAAAGCACTTGACATCTGAGTGTTTTCACTGTGCTTTAGAAAAGACTTTTCAAACAGGGAAAACATGACGAAATTAAACGAAACTTATTTCAGGCCACGTAAAATGTTTTCACTGCTCCAACAAAAGGCAGAAATTATGTCACATCTCCGTCCAGCCCAGGAGAATTTTCCCCTAATTGCTGGTGCAATCATAGGAACAAAAGAGAAGGGCTTTTTGGTGTCTGTTTGTTTTAACTACAGCATTTGTACACATCTAGAAGCCTTTTGTCTCTTCATCACGCTGCCCTGATGTCAGGAGTCATTTGCTGGAGGCAAGTTTACACAGAGGCAGCTAGACTGGGGTGACTCTGAGGGAAGTAGATGGCTTTTCATTCAACGCCATCTCAGGTCCCTTTACAACTCACTAGAACGTTTAACCATTGCCCAAACCATCTCCTGATCCAAGTAGTTACATGCCTTTGCTGGCAGCGTTGTGACATTCCGCAGCGGCTGGTACGTTTATGTCTCAAGCATCAGGGAATGGAGCATGGGATAAATGAAATTACTCATCCAGATCGCAGAGCGAGTCTGTGGTTGACCAGGGATGTGACTCAAGGTCTCCTGAGCCAGAGGTCAAACCACACCAGGAGTTTTTTGTTCTAAATTTACAGGTCATCAAAAATATTCTACTTTTGTGGAGAGGTAGGGCTTGACAGGGGGTTGAGATCTTGCTCTTCCCATGGTCTCAGTTACCTTTTGGAGACAACTTAAAAGCAACCCATGGACCCCTGGCCAGTCCAGACAACAGTAAAAGCTGCAGGGCTGGCTCCAATATCACAGATACTGAGCAATCAGTTCTGAGTTAGCTGGAGGGGTGATGATCACATCCCCTCTTCCACACCGTCCCTTATACGATGCTCCAAAAACACTTAGGGCTGTGCAATGTCTTTGCTGTGACAGCACCAGCTGTGGGCACCACAGCATGGGGACCACCTTGGAGGAGAGGGAAGCATGGGTGGAGGCCAGTGGTGTGCCTGGAGGCGGTGGTCGGAGGTGGACTAGCTAGGGATATCCCAAATTGGCCACCTTGAGAAAGGAAAGGGCTTAGGAGGAGACAGTGGAAGGGAACAGTCTCCTAACATCAACCGAGTCCAACAGTCTGCTCTGCTGTAATGGGGCCAACCGCCTCTGTCACCCCAGGAGACCCAGCAGAAGCACGGAGGAGAAGAGCATCCGGGTTCAGCCCTGCTGCCTCTTTCTCTCCTGCCACACTGCAAGGAGTGGGCTCGTTCCCACGGGTGTCATTCAAGAAAACCCAGTGAGTTTCACAGACTCAGCCGCATCAGACCATCACACTGAGCCTGACCTAGCAATTTTGCCACCCCAACCACCTCTACCCCTGCAAGACCTCCTTCGCCCTCCTGCCAAACTTACAAACCACCCAAATTTTTTGAGAGTGGGCTGAGAAGGACGGAAGACTGGGCTACCCATTCGCTTTGGTACCTTTAAATGCAAACATCAAAGGGTAAGAGAAAGGCAGGTAACACTTTCAGATCTCAGCAAAAGATGAGTCTTGTTGCAACACGAAACTCTTTGGTCAGAGGGAAAACCACACAAGCTTACTGCCTCTAGTGTTTATTAGGGTATGGCACATGCCAGAGGAGAAAGGCTTAAGCAAACAAGCACAATTGTTCCCATGATCACAGTGAAAAAGTGAACCCTGAGCAAAACTATTTTACAACAGCTTCTAAAGAACATGGGTGAAACTGCCGGTATCTTGCTTAGAAAAAAAACAAACTGCAGCGGGGTAAGAAATGTCTTCAGCTGGGACTAGTCACCATTAGGAAACTCTTGTTTTGGAGTTCGAGCCCTGCCTGATGAGTAGCACTGATTAAAATTGCACCACATCTGGATCCAGCACAAGATCTTGAATGAAGTCAAGCCTTTCCGCAAGCTTCCCAGGACGCCAGTTCTCCGAGCAGGACATGGACCAGTCCCCTCTACCCATGGCTGGTAGAACGCCTCTCACATGGACCACGCTGCTTTATGGCCTTATCCCAGCTGTGTTCGCGGCTTTCCAGTGGACAAGCAGGTCCTGCTTCCAGATGAGTCCCAGCACCCTGATGACCAGCAGCTTTGCAGTGTCTCGAGAGGAGCGCTGGGGAAGCAAGCTGTTCTCAAACGCTGTTGAGAATCTCAGTCATGAGCTGGTCAATATAGCCGTATTTTACTTTTCTGTGCAGTTTCTGAAGGATGGTGGTGGTTTAAAATGAAATGGGCGGTTGCCACCTTGGCAAGGAAGGAGTGGTGGTGGCCGCCATGCAATTTGCCTCCTTTCTCCTTTGGGTGCCAGGGAAGGGTAAGAGGTTTTCTAGACCCTCCGGCTGACAGACGTAGAGCTGGTGGTTTTCGTCAGGATGGTGCCAGACCCCACCACCACTGAGTTACAGCCCCCGCCCGTGGAGTAGAGCCCTGCCCCTCCGGAGCCGAATGCCCCCCCAGCACTGAATCCTCCCCCCGAGCCAGGTCCACCCCCTCCCAGGCTGTAGCAGAAGCCAACACCAGCTGTGTTACAGCTGCCTCCCCCACTTCCAGCACCAAATCCAGTTCCTCCTCCTCCAAGGCACAGTCCGCCACCGTATCCGCCTCCGGCAGAGCTGCTGCCGCCTCCCACCACAGCTGCAGAGAAGAACAGAAGGCACAAGGTTACCTCTGATGCCACCACAAAGTTTTGGAGCGCCGACCCCAGCCCACCATGCTCCCTCGGGAGCGCAGAATCTTACTTACAGATGCTGATGGCACTCTGACACTCGCCAGACATCCTGCAAGGAACAGAGACGGAATGTCAGCTCCAGACAGAGCATCTGGACTGGTCCAGCTCCGTGAAGCCAGGCTTGGCCCATCAGACCGTGGGCATAAATAACAGCAGCTATCGGACCATAGTCCACAGCTAATGGCAACACCACGGATATTTTAACAGAGGAGATGTGGTGTGCCGCGTTCTTCGCATTGATTTGACAGGATGCAATCAAGCTCTTGCTGTATCCTCACCCACCTGCTCTCCTCTCCCTCCAGCAGCTTCCTGTAGGTCGCGATCTCAACGTCCAGGGCCAGCTTGACGTTCATGAGCTCCTGGTACTCGCGGAGCTGCCGGGCCAGGTCTGCCTTGGCTTTCTGCAGGGCTGACTCCAGGTCAGTCAGTTTGGCCCTGGCATCCTTGAGGGCCAGCTCCCCACGTTCCTCGGCGTCCGCAATGGAGCTCTGCAGAGTTTCACACTGGAGAACAAGACGTGGATGTGGTGAGTAGGGCAGGGGCAGCAGGTCGGAGATGAAGTCGTGATCCCAGATCCCTTGGGCTCAGCTGCTCACGAATACAGCAGGTTCCGTCCCACTTACAATGACTGTTACCAAACTGTTTGCTTTTAGGGAAGCTCTGAAGGGCATTACCAAGAGTTCACACCCATTTCTCAAAAAATGCAACCCCTACCTGTTTCTTCACACTCTCAATCTCAGCCCGTATCCTCTGGGTCATGCGGTTGAGCTCAGAGATCTCGGTCTTTGTGTCCTTAAGGCTGTCTCCATGTTTGCCTGCGGTAGCCTGCAGCTCTTCGTACTGGTAGGCAGAAGCAAGAGGAGCACCTTAGATGCACCATGAGTGGCTCCTCCCGACGCTCTCCACATCACCCCATGCAAGCCAAGGCCAGCATGCACAGGGGAGCTCCACTCCAGCTAGATCAGTCCCAGCAATATCCCAGGCCCCAGCATGGTCTGAGCTACCACCAGTAACTCTTCCACCTCCTCAGCCACCCATGATTACAAGCAAGGTGTGGAGCACTCACCTTGTATCGGTACCAAGACTCAGCCTCCACTCGGCTCCTGTTGGCAATCTCCTCGTATTGGGCTTTGACCTCCGCAATGATGCTGTCCAGGTTCAGGTTTCGGTTATTGTCCATGGAGAGAACCACAGATGTGTCAGAAACCGTCTTCTGCATCTGAGACAGCTCCTGCGATTCACACCAGCTCTGGTTTAGCCCTGCCATCATTTCCTCACAACCCTTCTCCACCCCAGCATCCCCCTCCACAGAGCAGCTGGACCACTTACAGCTTCATAAAGATACTTCAAGAAGTTAATCTCATCCGCCAGAGAATCTGATTTTGCCTGAAGTTCCACCTTGGTCATATAGACTGCATCCACGTCCTGCCGGAGAAATGGGAAATGAAAACCTTCTGCCTGACGCACGCCGTTTCATCTAACATGTAGCTGGGAGCCCTTTGGTGCTCTGTTTCCCTGTGGCACGTACATCCAGGGGCCCTGGCTTACGTCTGATGCTAACGAATCAGTGCTGATGGAAGCAAGACATTCTCTGAACCCAGGTGTGTCTTTGTGTTAGGCAAAAAAAAGTACTTTACCTTTTTTAGGAGCACAAAATCGTTCTCCGCAGCTGTCCTTTTGTTTATTTCCTCTTCATACCTGCCGATTATAAGGAGGTAGATTGGATCTCTTTGCTTATTTTGGCTCTGCGTGCTGCTGGCAACTAGACGCTGTTGGCCTCAGACTAATGAAGGCAGCAAAAATAGACCTGCCAAGAGCGAGATTTACGGACAAGCGGCAGCACTTCGCCTCCCTAGATGAGTCCTGGCTCCTGCCATCTCCAATGCCTCGCTGAAGAAAGCCTGCAAAGAGGAATCCTCTCTCTGCCTAAAGCGAGTCCCGGTGGCTGCGGCTACTCCAACTCCTTCTACAAGACCCAAGGACCTTCACGTCCTCAACATGGGCCATTTCCAAATGCTCATCGGGGCAATTAATTGCTGCAGAGTGTTGAGTGGTGGAGATACCCTCAAAGCAAAGCCCATTTTCAACCTGCAGCCTCAGTAGAGCAAGGGATCTAGTTGATCCTGATGAGTCCCAGACTTGCTTTCCCAACATTTTTTGTAATTCCTTCAGTTGAAGCATTTCTCCAGCCTTTGTTCTTGCTTTTCCGACTGGACAAGTTAGTCTAAAAGAACCCTTTCTTTTTTCCTTTTTTTCTTTTTTTCTTTTTTACTCCACATCATCTTTCCAAAGAAAACTTTAAGCTTCAAATCATGAAGGATACTACGAGAAGGAATCCATGAGGAAATCCATGAGGAAATTATAGTAGGATTTAGCAACTGATCTAATTAGTTCATTAGATCATAAGTCATGGATTCTTAAGTGAGGAAGACAAACAGTAGAGGATCCTGCTTTACTGAGAAGCATAACTCAGGCAAAAATATATATTGAGAAATACCTTGAAAAATCACCACCTATTGTCAAAACTCAGCTGGTGAAAACTTCCCCCAAACTTTTTACATTTTCTAATCATTGAAACAAGTGAAATATTGCTGTTTCTTATGATCCTTTGAATTTTCTGCCTGTTCAAAGTGAGCTTTTATCTCTATTTTTTCACCACCAGACCACCCAACCGTGACAAGACCAAGAACAACATACTTGGTCTTGAAGTCTTCCACCATATCTTGGAAGCCCTTCAGCTCCGACTCCAGCTGGTGCTTCTCACTTGCGAGGCAGTCCAGCTGCTTCCTCAGCCCGCTGATGTAGGTTTCAAAAAAGGGGTCGAGGTTCCTGCCGCCTGTCCCTGTGCCACCCTGCTCCTGCAGGAGTTTCCACTTGGTCTCCAGGACTCGGTTCTGCTGCTCTAGGAACCGAACCTAAATGATTGCAGGGATGGGTAGAAAAAGAGTCAGACTATTCCCAAAAGCGTCCTTTTGTTGATTTTTTTCCCCACACTTTCCATAATTTTTTCCCATTTAGTGAGTTTAACCTTCCTGCCTATTCTCATCTCCAGTGAGCAGTAACTCCAGGGTCCCACTGGACAGGCAGGACCGCAGCTCTAGGACGAGTGGGCAAAGGCGGGCCACCTTGCCTCTCCAATCTCACAGGCTCTAAACAGGAGAAACACGGTGAACTTCGTAATGGCTTTGCCATCATCTTCTTAAAAATAGGCCAAAACACCCAAAGTCCTTCAGCCCACGGACAGACAGGGACCATCAGCAGAGACTCCTCTGAGGATGCCCTGCACATACATGGTCCCACAGCTTAGTGCCAGCACCATGGTCTTAAGAACCAAGGATCCTATTCCTGGGTTTCTCCATAACCTTGGGGAAGCCACTTCTCCAGCCACCATCTCCTGTCTGCAGGGGTTCTTTGGGGTAGCCTGGGCAGCGCCTGGCTCTCTGGCTGGTGTTGGATGGGCATCTCACAGTAATTGCAACCAGCACGAGCCGTGATGAGCTCAAGCTCCCACCTCCCACCTCCCAGCCCCGGATCGAAGCCACTCTCACCTTGTCAATGAAGGAGGCGAATTTGTCATTGAGCTGCTTCATCTCCTCCCGCTCTTGCGTTCGCACCTTCTGGATCTCAGGGTCAATTTTAAGGTTAAGCGGGGCCAGCAGGCTCTGGTTGATGGTCACTTCCCTGATGCCGCCCAGTGGGCAAGGGGGAAAGCCTTGACCTCCTATCCCGCCATCAAATCCTCCACCAAAGCCACCAAAACCACCACTGAGGCCTCCACCAAAGCCACTTCCAGCCCCACTGCTGTAGCCACCACCGAATCCTGGCCCAGCACCATAGCCGTAGCCAAAGCCTCCTTGGCCACCAGCCCCAAAACCTCTGCAGACAACACCACCGCCACCGAATCCTCCCAGAGAGATGCTTTTACTCCCTCCCAAGCAATAGAGGCTCCTGCTGCCAAAGCCACCAGCTTTGCCAGGTCCCCTGCAGTCCCCACGAGACACGGAGCTGAACGTGACCTTGTTCCTCCCTCCAAAACAAGCGGAGCTGGAGCTGAATCCTCTGCCGAGACCACAGGACTGGCGAGACATGATGATGGGTCTCCAACAGTCAACCCTCGAATAGAGACAAGCTGAGCGGTGCGGTGCACGGAAGGAGGTTCGGAAGCAAGAGGAGGTGAGTCCTGTGGGTGCAGTGGCTGAGTGCCCCTTTTTATGTGCTCAGGGAGTTGGCTGGCTGTCAGGGGAGTGGAGGTGTCTCTTATTTTTTTATTCTATTCATTGTTTTAGGGCTTGGAAGGATGCCCTCCTCTCTTTGCCACCACCATGACCTGCCTCAAAACACTCCCTCGAGAGCTAAGAAAAACAAAGCTATTGTTGGTGTTGGAAGCACAACTCCAAATCAAATTCCCTCAGCTGCAACTGTCAACTCATCACGGGCCTTTCTGAGCCTCTTACGGCAATGACAAAGCACTGCAAATTCCTTGACATATTACACCCTTGAGGGAGACCCTTGTTTTAGCTAGATCACTCATTTTGAGTCCGATGGCAGGTGCTTGGTTCACTGAATTCCAACAAAAACGTGGTTTCCCAATCACACCCGCAGATGCACTCCGGCTCAACTCCCCGCTCACAGGAGGTTTGACTTGGGTTGTCCAGAACTGTTGCACAACCAGAGAGCATTAGTCCTTGGCATAAAATCAGTTTTATGTCAACAAAGAAGATTTAGAAACACTTTGAAGAAGGTTTTAAAGTCATTTTAGATCACTCTGACTGGTGGGTTGAGCCTGGAGGGACACAAGGGGTTTTGCAGAGGCCAAAATATTTTGACATTTCCCTCTGCCGTACCTCAGCAGGGTCGAGATGCCGTTACCAGCCTGAGGAGCTCTGCTCCGCATCCGTGACAGCGGGTCCCCATCCCTCCCAGGCTGGAAGCCTTCCAGGCACTGCCGGGATATTTCCCCATCACCCTCGCAGGGTCCCCGGCCACGAGCCCCCCCCAGCACGTGGCACTTGGCACAGCCGCCCCCACGCTAACCCATCAGCGAGCTCACATTGGAAAAAAAAAAAATTACTTAATTGCTTAACCACTTTTAATTTCTATTTTAATGAGCAGAGGTGTCTGAAGATGCCTTCCGACTGAGGATCCCCCTTTATCCCGC